GATTCACAGAACAAGCCTTTGCTTAGGGCAACAGCTGCTGTGTACAGCTCCCTTTCCCACCCCACCTCCCTCGCCACCACAAACCAGCCTTGGGCTCCAAACTCACAGAGCAGAGGGTTAATTCCACAGCAGTTGGCCAGCTGAGGAACAGAGGGACAGTGGTCTACATGCCTACGAGGTAACACTCAAAGGGGCAGAGGACCAAAGCAACTAGGAGCTCAGGAGGAATCCTCTCCTCGCCGTAGGGGTCATTCTTCATCACCTGACGGCAGGCACCTCCTTACCATCCCCTCCTGGCACCAATGCGCCATCTCCTCTACATCCTCTGACAGTCACCGGGTGGTTGACTCCGGTCCCACCACGAGTGAGCTGGCCAGAGCCCTGATTGGCTTCAACACAGAGAGGCCAGTTTGCAGAGATGACTTAGCAGGAGGTTGGGGGGTCCACAAGCCTGGATGGGAAGGGCCCCCACAGGGCACAGACACAGCCAAACTACGCTCCACAGCGCAGAACAAAGTGCTTTCCCCACCAGTGTCCCTTGTGGCAGAGAAGGGCTGTAATGACTGTACAGGAGATCTTTCACGGAGGCTGCTGGGCAGACAGACCCTCTGGTTCTCTAGCTCCCAACCACAGAGTCCCTATCAGGGCGCTTCTAAATATCTGCCTGACCCAAGCAGTAACGGAAGGGGCTGCCGAAGGCCCTACGGCAATGCTTTGGGATACACAAACCTAGCAGCAAGCTCTTGGGAAGGGGTCATTCTGAGCCATGAAGCTCAAGATTCAAAATGCAACTATTCCAATAGAGAGCAGCGTAGGCTGTGTGTGATGAACCCTCAACACTCGGCTGTCCCCTTGAGATGGGGTTCATAGAGTGGGGACAGGAGCTGGACTCTAGTGCTGGATAAAGCACCTTGTATTGACCCAGGCAATCTAGATGCCCTAGGAGAGTGTCACTAGTAAACAGCCTCTTACTGAACCCCAAGATTTGAAGTTTAGGGAGACTGGACTTGGCTGTAGATGCCTTGAAATGCAAACACGGCCTCTGCCACTAACAATTTGTGGACAAGATTTAGCACACAGGGACATTGTCCCCGCCCAAAAGCGCCTTCTGTTGCAATGCAGGGAAGAGCAGGAGTCTTAGTGCAGGGAGGGAGACTCCCTGGACGTGTACATTCCCAGGGAGCCAAGCTGGAATTCAGCAGTACTAGAAGTTGCCCGCAGAGGGCTCCTATATTTTATATGTCAAGGCAGAAGTCCCAGAGGACAAGTTGTATCGGCAAAATAGATTCTGTAACTTCCTCTCAACTTAAGAGGATGTTTCCGTGTTAATCCTAGGGCATCCAAACAGCTCTGTCGCTGCACCTCCATCCTGACCTGCGGCTCTCTGGTCGAGAGACCACCCCCCACTCTTGTGGTTGCAGCTCATTCCTGATCCACTGCTCCCAGGCCAGATTCCCTGTGGACTGGAAGGATCCAAGAACAGACTCTCAGTCATTCCACCCTTCCGATCCCAGCAAAAGTCAGAAGCACAGGGGCTGCCACAAGAGATGAAAAACCAGTGGGCGGAAGAAAGGTTCAGAGAAGATTTGGTCCAGAAATGGCCAGCATGTCTAACTGCAGTCGAACCTGGCCTCATCCCTGCGTCCTGCTGATACTAGAGATGGGCCCAAGCTGTGTGGGAGTCCAAACTCCCGCAGAAGGTTCAAGGGTGGGCTGTTTAGAACCAAAGCTTTGGCTCAGCCCATGACAAAAAACGGGCCAGCTGCAGAGCACGGAACTGAACTTGACCAATGCGCAAAGGGTCTTGGCTCCTGGGAAGCAAGTTCAAGCCTCCCCCTCAAATTCTAATCTGGGACTTTTCACTGGCATGGGGCACAGGACTCCACAGAACAGGGCTGAACATGGACTGTCAGAGGAACCCATTTTATACAAACCACCAGGGGCCAGGACAACTGAGTTACAGACCAACTTCCGCTCAGTTTGTGCAGGAGTTAGCACGATGGGGCCTGTTGTGACTGGGGCACCTCTTTGCACTCAGCAGGTGAACCATGGGGTTGCTTTATGGACCACTTAATAAAAGGGATTGCCTAATGGAGGTGGGTCCTGAACACTGGTTAGCCCGTAACTTAAAAAAAAAAGTGAAGAGGAACCGCTAGATCTAGGCAGTAGCCCCAGTAACTTTGGGGGAGGAGTAGGACACTCCATAAGCTGAGATTTAAAAAAAAACAAAACACTCCGTGCTCCCCCATTATTAAAATGGTTTATACTGCAGTAGCACCTAAGACCCTAGTCATGAACCAGACTCCATGGTGCCAGGTGCTGTACAAACCCAGAAGAGAGCTTTTTGGGGTAGGGACTTACTTTAAGAGACAGATGGACACTGATCCTCAGCCATGCTGGAGGACCAATCAGAAATCCAGCTCAGCCTACATTCAGGAGCCAAGGACACTCCTCGGGCTGGATTTTCACAGGTGTTGAGCACCTGCAGCTCCCATCAACTTCAACTGGCACCGTGGGTGCTCAGCACCTCCTGAATCAATGTCTCAGGGCTGTGCTCTCAAGTACTGAGGTTCCCCCAAATCAGCAGCAACTCTTGAAAACGCTGGCTTCACTGAGCTGCCAGTGAGGGGAGTCCATTCCCTCCGCCAGGGTTATACGTCTCTGTGCAGAGAGCATTGCCATCTACTAAATACATCACGCTGGGCCTGCAGGCTCTCTGACCCGCTGGTTGTTTCCCTAGCCAGTCACTGTGGTGACATTATCTGGATGAATCAACCTGTGCACAGGTTCTCTCATGGAATCACACATGAGATTTACTGGGATGCAGAGCGAAAGCCCCAGGCCTGAGGGGAATGGCATCATTACAGTCTACCATGCTGCTGGCTATGGTGTCTTTCCCAGCCCCGAGGACATGCCTCTTGCATCAGGGCCATCGATCACGTCAGTGTTTTGTCACAGGCAACGACGACGAAAAAAATTTCTCAACCTGTCAAGATCCAGAAGTGAGACAACAGAAAAAGGGGACACGTGGGAGGATGACAGGAAAAAGCAGGGAACTCGGAAAGACGGCGGGATGCAGCGCTCCAGCCTTCAGTGTTTGCAGTAACCTCGGCGCTGGGTGGAAATAAACCCAAGTGAGAGCAATGCTGGGGCTGTGTGGGATGGAGGAATATGCAGGTCTGGAAACAAGGGAGAGAGTCAGACAAAAAGACTGAGGGAATTAGGACAGCTGCCTTTCAGCTCTCTTCTCTGCAAACAGAAATAAGAGCACAGAGCAGCATCTGGGGTGTAACTCCCCACCCCTCCATGCATGTGCATTCTCTGCTTGGCGTGGGAAACACATTCCTTTGTGATCTGAATTTGGTATTTTCCCAAACAGGATGTCCCCATCTCTCCCCCCACGATTAGATCTTGTGTGGTCTTCCCTTCTCCCCAGCACACCTTCCCATTCCCAGGCACGGCTGTGAAATATGCTAATCCAGCACTTACATCACAATACGAAAGAACTACGAACAATAAGTTCTCAAAGTGAAGCAAGAAAACATTTGATTTCGGAGTCTTGGCCTTGCTAATGCAGCTGCCATCCACGCAGATCCCCTCTGCCTTCCATAGGCAATGGCCAAGCCTATTCAGCCAGCCCAGTCCCTGCCACCTTAACATCAGCTCCCCTCTTAGGAATCCTTGTCCAACACACTTCACTGGTGTTAAAAAAAAATCGCTTTCCTTGTCTTTTCCTTCCTTTTCTCTGCTAGGACCACTAGCTACCCAGCATGCATTGATGCTATCCTGCCTCTTGTGAGCCTAGATTGGAGGGTCCTCAAAAAGAGTTTGGGGGCTAGGGAAATAAAAAATTATGGAGTGCAACACTCCAGGGAACGTAACCCTGGCCTGGGAGGCTGACTAGAATCATCATCAGCCCCCCAGGATTACTTTCTAACACGGCAAGGACCACATTTCTATTGGGAAGTCCTCTGGAGGGGCTCAGGCAGAAACCTGATTAGCATGGCTGCCAGGGGGGAGCATCCCCACCCAAGGGTTACTTGGTTTTACACGTAGACCTTATGAGACCCTTTTAGGAGCCCAGAGAATTGGTGAGTCCATATTAGAAGCATCCCCTGTAAGTGTCTGCCTCTGGGGAACAGCTGGTTACATACACAGTTGTTCAGGACACTAGCATGAGAGCTTTGCAAGGACATATGACAAGCCCAGCTGGAGTCACAGGTGTCTGGATGGTAGCTGGACATGGCTGCTGAGTTCCTAATCTACCTTTAAACTCTCCTTCACCACCAGCCCACGCTGCCCCAGCGCTATCCTGCTGTTAGCGCTATCAATTATTTAACGGCAGAAACGCTGGAGCAAAGCTCATGGGCACCAGGCCAGCCGCGGAAAGGAATCCCACAGCTTTTCACGCTTCCTAAACTACTCAACTCTTCGCTCGTTCCCTCAGTTTGGAGTCTGCATCCCACTCTGGGGGCCTGGCAAAGAGAAGGGAGCTGGAGGCTGCAGGGAGAATGTGAATGGATAGCCTTGTGGTTAAGGCTGGGACTATTGAGACCTGGCCGCCCCCTCAAGTCAGTCATTTGATCTCTGTGCCTCAGCCCACTCCAGCTGCAAAATGGGGATATTACTCCTTCCTTGGGCTGTTTTGTCTAGTTCGACTGTAAACTCTTTGGGCAGGGACTGTCTCTCACTTGGTGTATGGCCAGCACACAACACAACGGGGCCCCGATCTTGGATTGGGCCACTTGAATACTTACCGTAATCTGATGGACCCTCACAACTACTGAGCCACGCAACTGAATGGGGAACGTAGGCCTGCGGCCTCCAATTTGCAGGTTTAGGCCTAACAAGATGGCAAATTCTAACCCACCACTGATCAACAACAAGCAAGATCAGGAACGGTTCCCCTCAGATCCTCCAGAGCACATGGGAGCTTGGGAGAAACAGCTCCTGTTTCAGTCCCTCTCTGCTAACCCACCTGGGCCAGGCCAGCCCCTTACCTTCCACCGGCGACGTCTTCAGCCTCTTGCAGATGTTCTGCACACCCCCGTATGTGTCATTTATCCTTGCGACGGCCTCACTGCTCCGAAGCTCCATGAGGGTCCGCAGGTCGACCAGGGAGCAGCCGAAATCCCCTTCATGGCTACCCTCAGCGACCGAATTCCCAGGATGGTGGTCGGCAGCGTTGTTCGTCATGTTGCCAAAACAGCGGGAGTCGCAACAGACGCGTGTGGAAAAACGCTGGCTCCTATTTGTTCACCTCCCTCCCTTGACAGTCCCGCAGGGGGGACAGACGGTCCTTGGCAGCTCTCAGCAGCCACCTTAGCTCCACAGTCCCGTAGAGGACTGGATGGTGGAGCCTCGACAGAGAAGAGAATCCCTGCGGACGTGCTGGAGGTGGGGAAGGGGAAGCAGGTGCTTCCTTCTACAGCTTCCCAGGTGAAGCAGCGTGACTAGCTGAGCCCAACTTCTCCAGATAAAGGTGTAAACAGGATGTGCATGTTACCGTGGAAGCGACCTTAGCAACAACCAGTGTCTCTCTTGGAGAAGGAGGAGGGTTCCCTGGATACCAGCGGCAACGGGAGCTGCAAGACAGATTTAAAACAAAAATACTGTCATTAGCAAGAGGCCCGAGATGCACGTGCCATGGAACGGGGGACCGAAAGCCACGGTGCTAGGGCTGCACCTATACAAGAAATACTGGGAGGCAGTAAGGTCTAGGAATGGAGCACTGGAGCCAGGAACCCCCAAGTTCTAATCCCACTTCTACCCTGTTTTAGGGCAGGATCTTAAAGGGACATGCCCAGCTGGACAACTAAATGGTGTAAGAAAAGGCTGCTTCACAGCAAGAATGCTTAGCACTCGTAGTCCTTTTCAAGCGGGATGGTTAGCTAGCAGAAATGGGTCTATTATTTGCATTACTGTGAGGCGTAGAAGCCTGTCACGGCCCAGGACTCCGTGGCACTAGGTGCTGTAGAAATACAGAACAAGACAGTCTAAGCTCTGCTGATCTCAACAAAACTATGCTGCTAAACGGTAGCTGAGGATCTGGTCCTTCATCTCAATCTCAAAGCACTTCAAAGTGCATCAGCATCACTGGTCTAACTACGCAGCAGGGAAGACTGAGGGCCCCCCGGATAAACGACTTTCCAGTTGAGTCACGAAGAGGACCCAGGTGACTCTCTGCTCCATCCACAGCAGTCTGGCCCAAAGCAGAGAGGAAGAGAAATATTTCCATTTATTTGTTTTCAAAACAAAGACTTCCACTGGAAAACAGCTGTCTCTTACACACCCCTCTGTTGTGCCAGGGACGCCCTGAGAATCTGGCTCTGAAACTGACTATATATAAAATGTGAAAGTGACTCCACTGATTTCTTCTGTCTGGAAGAGACAAAGCTAAAGAAGTAAACAAACATAAATGTGGACAAATAAATTGGAGCTTAAAAGGCCTTTTGTTTAAGTCATGAGTGGATTGTCAGTTAACATGGGTAAAAACCCTCAAACATTTAAATACAGACAGATTTTTATACTACATCCCTTTAGCTTCTTTGCCAGAGTTTCCCAATCTGTACAATGATTACTAGCTATTACCATTACTTAGAATGGGGCAATGAGGAGGAGAGAAATACTATGACTTATTCAGCAATGAAGCCCCACGTGCAGACACAGCTGAGTTAGAATCAGCACCAGCTATATCCTGCATGGAAGGGAGAATTCCAGAGCAAGTCTCAGTGGGTTCCCTGAAGCAGGAAGGGAGAGAACCTGGAATATTAAAACTGGGGAGGATTCAAGAGTCCATTCCAGATGGGCAGAGAAATCCACTTCAGTTTCTTCTCCTCCTCCTCCAGGAGGAGAGGGGAGTCCCCCTCGGCACCTGTGACAGTTGTAGGGAAATGCTGGGACGGAACTTCATACCCCAGTTGGATTCCAGACATTTTGGGCCCCCATGCTTTCCCTGCCCTCTCCAAAAGCGGAAGCAGCTGGCAAGGAAGGAGTCGGGGGATTGAACGCTTGAGGATGCCCCCCTCCCCAGATTGCTAGAGAGGGCTTTCTCCACCAACAGTCCACGACTGCAGTCTGCTCAAGGCCACTGATCCTGAAAATGCATGCACAAAGCGGGCTTCTCTCAACTGGGGGGTGTTGCAGCTATGCTGCAGTTTGGGATTTCTTCAGGGTTGCATCTGCCCTGAAGAGGGACTGGGGAGACCAGGAAGTTCACAGCAGCCTAGCACAAGAACGTAGAGGAGCAAATTGGGAAGGAGGGACTAGGGCAGGGTATGCTGCTAGGAAGCCTTCACCCCATCCCCTTCCCTTCTCCCTGAATGCAACATGGAAAATCTCAGTCCCTCTGATGCTCCAGCTCCTTCCATAAGCAATACGACAGCAGAGATCCCGCAGAACCAAACTGCAGAGGCAAAGATGCGCATGATCCAAGCTGCGTTCTCAGAAAAACCATCCCGCTAGGCCAGGGATTAGGGTATTATGACTCCACCCATCCCCCAGCATAATTCAGCTACTTGCAGGGAAGGCAGGAACAGACTGAGCTGTGGAGATTAGAGATAAGGAGACAGGATAAGAGAAGACTCCATGCTGGTGGCTAAAGATATGGAGTCAGCATGCAATAGGGCTGGAGGGAGACCGTTTCTCTCCATATCTTTCTTCTCACTTGGGGCAGAGAGAACCTGACAGATGCTGTCTGTGTGCCCCCAAATTTAGCCTCTGAAGGGAATTTTAAGAGTTGCTACAGATGTCAGGTATGACAGGCGCAGAAGTGTCCTCAAGAGATGCCTTTGTGAAAACAGGGTAATCCTGGGAACACAGCATCATGTTAGTGCATGAGAACCAGGAATAGAGATAGAAAGGGAAGCCAGCCAGCCAAGTTACTGTCACATCCACCCAGGGAGAGCAAGACACCCAGAGCAGACCCAAGCAGCACATGAGGAAAGTGGGGAGCTGTAGCCCCTGTTTTCCAGGAAACCCCTGCTCCTTTCACTGCTACCACAACTCCCCCTGTCTGTTTGTTCATCCTCCTTTTGAATCTTTTAATAAGCCAAGGTCCCAACCCCACAAGTCGTCCCATGCAGGTGGATCTCGGCGCCCATGGGGATCCAGTCAAGCAGAACAGCTTGCAGAATCTAGGCTTTTGACTGTAAATTCTTTGAGGCAGGGATGGTCTTTGTGATCCCTGCCTGAACCATGCCCAGAACAGGGCTCTGATCCCTGCCTGGGGCCTCTAGGTTCTAATATGAATCAGGAACCACATTCCCACCGTGCTGAGCCCTGGACACACATGGATGACCAACAAACTCCTTGTTTAGGGAAGGAACTCTAAATAGGCCATTATTAATTTTCAGGGTTCCCCTTAAAGAAGTAGGCCCACCTCAGGGATAGAGAGAGTTTTAAGGCTGGGAAGACGCAGACAAGAAATCCCTTAAGGAAGTCCTGCGGTAGGTCATTGGTATGGGACTGGGGGGCAACTCTAGGTCATGGCTTGGTGCTATAGAAGAAAGCACATCTGTCCATCCATCTACTTGCTTTGCCCTCCCCCACCCCACCCAGGAGCCTCTCTAGTGGAGCCGTTACTCATCTATCATTTAAGGGCGTTAAAGCTCCCTGCGGGAGGAGGTACAAGATGGCAGATCCAATTAAACAGACCCCTGCTGATTAATAGCGTGTTGGGGGATGGGGGAGGGGATTATGGTTCCTATTTTTTCCCCTTTCATAACAAATAACATCTTCTGAAAAGAGCTAAGAGGTTAAGAGAAAGGCAGCTAATTAATCCTGGAATTGCAGACTCCATAATTACCCCTGGAGGAGCCTGCAGGGCTCCTATCATTATCTCCCCAGATTCCTCTCCTCCTCAGAACTGGAGCACCAGGGATCCCTCTTGGCATGTTGCAAGGTGGAGAGGGGCGGGGGAGAGAAGAGACCAAAAAATAACAGATTCCCAGGGGAGGAAAGTCTGCTTACACTCAGACAGCTCTAGTCTGCACTGCTGCCCATTGGAGTGGAACTGTGGTCCTAGAGGGTAGGGCACCGAACTGGGAGTCAGGAGACCTGGCTCTGCCACGGACCTGCTGGGTAACCTTGGGCAAGTCATGTTTCCCCATCTTTTTTGTCAGCTCTACTTTGACTGCAAGCTCTCCAGGGCAGGATCAGGTGTATGTCCCGTGCCTGCAACACTGGGGCCCTGGGCTTAGCTGGGACAGACAGACCTGGGGCATGTCCAGGAAATACGCTCCCACCGTGCATCCAGGTGTAGCTGGGATGGATCAAAAGCAGCTTTCAGTCTCCTTTAAAGACGGCTATCCCCTCACCTGGGAGTCCGGGTGCAAGCTCAGCCTGGCCACACTTTGACCCATGAGGTCTACAGCTTCACACTGACCCCATTGACACTCTTACAAACACCAGGTTCACCCTAATTGGGGGGGGGGGCAGACTTTGGACCACCACAGTAGGTTTGCCCCAACCATGCAGACTGCAAATCAGGGGACACATTAAGGTGACACCCACCTAGCCACGTCATTCCAGGCAATTTACATGTCAAAGGCCCAGTCCAGCCAGTCCCCTCCTGGGCGTTAAATATTATAGCTGGAAACTACTGAACGGATGTGCTCAGGGTGCTCTTTGGAGCCAGACAAATGGTCCCAGAGGCCCTGCCAGGGACAGAAAGAACCCCACGGGACAGGGTGATCCTCTGGAATCTCCTTCCGGCCCCACCAAGGCCAGGGAGAGAAGGAGGAAAGCCCCAGCAGCCAGCACTCTAACAAGCATCTAATGACATTATTCAGCTGACTGTCCCTAACTCCTCCACTGAATGCATCCGATGAAGCGGGCTGTAACGCACAGAAGCTTATGCTCAAATAAATTTGTTAGTCTCTAAGGTGCCACAAGTCCTCTTTTTCTTTTTCCTAACTCTCTAATTAGTTTCCAGAGCCTCTAGGCACCAAGGGGGAAGCTGTTCTTTCCCTGGGTCCCTTCCTCTGAAGGGGGAGTAAGGCAGAGAGTGACTAAGGGAGGGAAAGGCAGTGGGAAAGACCAGAAGAAGGCTCCAAGCAGCCCAAACACTCAGCTGCTGGCAGCCAAGTGCAGAGATGCTAGGACAATGCTGCATCCTTCCACCTAGTACTGGTCATGTGAAGCAGGGGGTGGGACCAGAGGGGCAGGGATTGTTCCCCAACTGACCCCTCTATAGGCCAAAGGAAGTGGAGAAAGTCCCCAACAGGTGAGTCTTCTTAATTGGTATCAGATGGCTCCTAGCACATTTGTCCCCCGATTCATATAGGATTAAGGGTGGATCCATCAAGAGGCGGTTCTTCAACCAGTGGGCCTCTGAGCTGGACAGGACTAGCCTGGGATTCAGCTCTGGCGGTTGGGTCAGACCCAGAGTCTGGATTCTGATAAATACAGTCCCCACTTTGCAATAGCCACATGTGGAGAGCTCTAGGGAAAAGGGATCCATCTCAGCCCTCTGCATCAGCTCCACCAGCATGCCTCCATGACCAGCAATCCCCTCCTTGCTGCTATTCCTGCCCTGGGCTTCATCCATACAGTTCTGCTAGCACACCTCACTCCCAACCTGCTGCTCCCCTCTGCTATTGAATTCTTGTGTGTCATCCCCCTGCACCACCATGTCCAGCCATGCCAGTGCCTCTTGGCCCCAATTCCCTGCTATTCTGGTCCTGGGGCATCTGCTGAGCAGAAACAGCCAACGGTGCTGCCTTGTGATGAGCCACAGAGCAACGGTCATCCTGGCAAGTGAACGTAAACAACTCCCTTGAATTCACCCACATCATAAGCAAGCTTTAAATCCAGGTCTCCAGGGCTAAGTGCCCTGGGCTGGGGCTAGGAAAGGAGAGAGGGTTGGAGGAGACATCCTGCAGCAGAGGGGTATGGCAAGCAAAGGCTTCCTCTATGTCAAGAGGAGACTAGGGAATAAGCCCCAGGGGGCCTATGCTAAAACACCTCTGCATTACACTGGCTTTGATACCCTTTGCTGGAGCAGGAACACAACAGCCTTTGAACCCATCTCCGCACTGGATCACGCCCCAGCCCAGCCACATTCTGCAAGTGTAGGGGCAGGGACAGGGGAGAAGAGTGGAAACATTTACAGGCCAGGTAAGCGGGGGAAGGGTCGGTGCTGGCTGGGCAGGCACGGCTGGGTTTTATATGGCCGTCTGCAGAGGGCATCAAAAAAAGGGGAGATAGAGATTTAAAACCAAAAAGGATCCTTTCAAATGAGGGGGAAAAATAAAGGAGGGGCAGGAGAGAGAGGATGCTGACAGGAGTGGCCCAGTAGGGTCCTTCCTTTCTACACCTAGGTTGGGGGGGGGACAGGATCCGGGGGGGAGACTGGGTCTCCCTAAAATCATTGTCATGTACCCCCCCAAATATACACACACAGCCCCCTCTCCATCCCCCCTAAACCCCCTTCCCAGCAGACTCCTGCCCCCAGCCGCACCCCAACCACTCCCATCCCATCCCCCTTCACAGTCAGTGGGTGCTAGCCAAGTGAGAAAGGAAAGAGGGAGGGAGGGAGTGTGGAACAGAGAGAGAAGCTGGCAGGAGCAGGAGGAGGGAGCAGCTGATGAGGAATGATGGAGCTGATGCAGTGCTGCAGACAAACCTGCCCGGAATAATAAACGGCTGCATTACACCTCCACCATGGCAGACGGAGAAGACACTTACTGGCATTAGGGAGACAGGGCACCCCTCCCAGGGGTGGAAAACCAAAAGGCAAGCAGGCAGAGGTGCAGCTGATGGCACCTAAGTGCCATCTCTCCACTCCAGGGTGCAGGGACTGACACAGAATGGCCAGCGGGATCTGGGGCCCAGACCTCCCCCTAGGAACACAGGGCATTCCCCATGCGAGAAAAAGGGAAGCTACCCCTGGGCAGGAGCAGGGGAGGGTGAGAGACTGCTGTGGGACGGCCAGAGAGGTTATCCTCTCTAAAACAGTCAGGCCCAGTCTTAACATCCAGTAAGTACCTGCCAAGGGGGGCATTTTCCCCCTTCCCTCTAGACAGGGCTCTCTGGGGCCTGCAGTCACAGTACGCTGTTGTATTTGCCTCGCTCCACAACTCAGAGACTTTGGTGTAGCTCCTCATGCCGCTACTAGGGGCTTCACTCCTCTTGCAGACCTATGTCCCCTGTTGGGGGGGAGAAGGTCTTAACTCCTAGATCTGGGATGGCAGAGATCAGTGGCCTGCACTGGCTGGACTGAAGCAACAACTGCTCAGGCTGGAGAGGTCCAAAGGTGGGCACCTAAAAAAAAAATATATGGAGGCATCCAAAAGCCACGGGCTCCTTTTGAAAAGGAAGGTCTAAAAAAAACAACAAACAAAAAACAAAAAAAAGGTTGTTGGCTCCCTGTCCTGGGCTGCAGGTCTGCAGATCCCAGCCCAACTCTGTCCTCCCCTGGGGTCTTTGGAAAGGGTTGTACGCAGCATCGTCTCCAGAGACAATGGTCCGGGCCAGCATTTCCCTGTATCTCCCGCAGAGTGTCACCGGGGGAGAGGGCTCCCTTGGTCACAGCCAATGCTTCAGCCAACATGGCTTACCTGGGATCCTCAGAGGTACTTGTAAGTCCAAAACGGATTCCAGCTCTGGCCTAGTAATTCCCTCAGCCATCGCCTGGAGTTGGCAGTTTCCCTTTGCTCTTGCAGTAGCAAGGTGCTCCGGGGGGGGGGAGGAGTCAGGCACAAGCTGTTGTGCTCTGACCACTCTAGCTACTGCCCTTTCATGACTAAGGAGAAAGATGCCCACAACTTGTGTGTCAGGATGGAGACAACAAGGTCTGGGATCAGCCTGCAGGGCTCAGTGCAAACATACCCACAGCCAGTGGAAGCTGGGAGAGGGTCTCCCTTACCTTGGCTTTGCTTTTCCCTTCTCTCCCCCAAGTTACATTGCCTTGATCATCCTGGCTCTCCATGCTAGGAAGGTGCCCTGTTCCCAGCAACTAGCAGAAGCTGCTACAGCCTTGAGTGCAGCGTAAGCCTCTAGACCAGTGGTTCTCAAAGTGGGGTTCGCAGAACGTTACAGGGGGGGTTCGGTCAGAAAAATTTCACTCATGGCAGCCAGAGAACCCCGGGCATTGGAGACAGCAGGTGGGACCCAGTTGCAGGGCAGACAGCCTGAGCCCTAGGGAGAGCAGGGAAGGGCAGTTGGGGCTGGCAGCCCGAGCCCTACCCCCCCCAAATCAGCCGGGGAGCCGGCCGCCCGAACCCCAGAGCTCTGCGCAGGGCTGGCAGCCTGAGCCCCGGGGGTCAGCGGGACCTGCAGCCCGAGCTCAGTGGACCGGGGTGATCAACGGGGTCCAGCAGCAGGAGCCCTGCTCAAATCCCTGGAAACATTCATTTTCAGGAGGGGGTTCACGAGATTTCACAATTTAGTGAAAGGGGTTGGCGAGCTGTTAAAGTTTGGGAACCACTGCTCTAGACTGATTATATAGATAGGGATGATCTTTCCCAGAGACCAAGGCAATTAAAGCAGACCCAGCCAGGCAGAGATCCTGCGTCTAGAGATCAAGCACAGTTGATTGGTTTCAGCATTGGACATGGGGGGTGTAGCAGGCGGCATACAGGCTCACTGCCCAGTCATCTCCATTGTTCACTCCCCAAATGGGGAGGAGGATAGGAATTCGAAGTTCCATCCCTATCTGCCCCTCTCCCCTAGCCTCCACTCCCTGGCCTCCCCCACTCTGGGTTCCAAGGTTAAAGAGCATCTCCTCAGCTCAGATGCGGAGTCCCTCTGGGTATTTCCCCACCTGTCTGCAGGCAGATATCACAGCGGTGATTCAGGATCCAAGGGTGGAAGAACGGGCCCGATCCTGGTGTCAAATGGAGTTTCTCCCATTTGTTGGGCTACTGGGAGACCAGGACTGAGCTCGCTGCTTCGAGGACAGAATGGCCGGTGAAGCAAGGAAGGATTGTGCCTCATTTAAAACGAATCAGGCTGCTGCCTTCAGAGCCCAATTTCAACCTTCCCCAAGTTTCTCCTGGGAGTAACAGGCTGGCTCCCGAGTCCTTCTACGAAACCATGCTCCTTACTCCTAGGAGAAGTTAAAGGAACAGAGTCAGAGAGAAAGAGCAGGCCCATGTGGCATTTGGCCCCATCCCTTCCATGCAGCGAGGCAGCTGCCTGGCACGTTTCCACGTGCCCACAGCTGGATTGCTGCAGGAGCCCACAATAGCCCTGATGTCAGGGCCCTGCAGAGGAACTCCGCTCCAGCACCGGAAGCTTGTGGTGGACGCCCCCCCCATTTTACTGGAGAGAGTCACCCCAGCCTGCTACGGCAGCAGCTGCTTGTTTTCTCCAGCCCTGGTGACAGGGTGTTATAAACACTGGCTTTGCTGTAGGTTGCTATGGCAAACTCAATGTAAAGCTTTGTCACAGGGAGACTATTTATGCCAAACGGAAAAAAGTGTCCCAGTTTGGGGGTTAAGATTTTTTCAAAAAAAAAAAAAAAAAATTTTCTTTAAAAGCCCAGCTCTTAACATCACTACAGGCCCACAGCCAGGCTGAGCCAAGAATGAAGGACCCCAAGGAGGAGGAGGAAGGAGCAAGATCGATCCAAAGCAGGGAAAGATGCTCCCAGATGGGCACAAGACCAAAAAAAAAAGCCACCGTCAATTTAGAGAACAAACCCAATCTGGTGCCCAAAAGCACACTGGGTAAATGAACCCCGGGGGGGGGGGGGAATCAGGGCTGCTTCATACAGCACAAGTTCTACTCACACCTCCTCTAATTAGCACTCACCACCAGGCTGGGGCTGAGCGTGCGGCTGCAGGGCTGACTCACCTCCGCAGAAGTGATTCGGCAAAGGAAGAGGAATAAATACCAAAAAAGCACCCAAAAAAGCAAAAGTGGCTTTGTGATGCCACAGAGGAAAAGCAGATGTGCTAAGTGCTACCTCTGGGGGTTATTTGTAGATCAGAGCACACCACGTGGGTGCAGCAGCTCTGACTCCATGTTCGGACGGGCGTAGACGTAAGAGCACAGGGCTGGATTCCCAGCTCCTCTGCTATTGCGCCTGAGGCAAGGCTGAAGTGGGACTTCCTGTATTTTGGGGCCCTGTGCTACAGCAGAGCAGCCTCAGGGCTGCTTTAACTTATACAGTTTCTCATGGACCCCTATGGGCCTGGGGAAGCAGAGAACTCTGGCCATACCCCAAAACACCTCCTACATCATGGCTTGGAGCAGAGCCAGGGCAAGCTCTCACCAGCCAGGGAGGTGGTCTGCACAAGGGGGCATTTCCGCCCACTTTAAGGCCCCTTTATGCTGCCAGGACGGCATAAAGGAGCCCTGGCATAAGAGGGAATTGGACCTATATACTGCCAAGATTTTCCTGCATAAATCTGTGCTCCAACGCAGTCCAGCTGCCTCTGGGAACCACTGCTAGCAGTGAGACAAAACTGCATTCCCTCCACTCACGGTGCTCTCTTCCCTACAATGGCAGGCAACCCTGCTGGCTGCTCCTGCATTTAGTGAGTCACACAATAAATGGGGCTGGTCCCCCAATTCACATACACACCGACCACTCCCCAGACAGTGAAGAGGCCAGCGGAGTGCTGACAGATTCAATTAGTTTATAGAACAGCGTAGGGGAGATTAGAGTTTTGGAAAGAAATTTATCTTGGCAGAATAATGGAGGTTTTTTTTTTTTAATATATAAAAAAAAAGTTGGCCAAAAGGGATAAGCCACTCAAAAGTGGCCAAGCTGCCTTCCCACCCCAGGCTGCGACGAAGAAGCCCCACTCATCCCCTTCCGGGAAGGCGGCAGGGGAATGATGGGCCCTGTTTTGGGTTATTGCAGGAGAGGAGAATGAGACCTGCTTCTAACCAACGGAGTGGGGATAGGGAAACTCCAGTTTAGGCCCAAAATCACTCAACTTTCCAAGTGCTGCTCAAATGCTAATGAAAGTATTCTCCCTCCACCCATAAGGCAGGGCTGGGCTATTCTCCCCATTGTACACATGGGGAAACTGAGGCACAGAGCGACTTGCCCAAGGTCACCCAGGGAGTCTGGGCAGGGCTGGGAACTGAACGCAGGCCAGTGTCTTAAGCCCCAAACCAGCCTTCCTCTCCCAACATTCCTCAGTCTGTCTGGTCCTGCAGACAGTGGGCAATTTGACACCAGAGGGCGTAGATAAGCTGAAGTCTATACAGGCGAGAGCTGACCCATTGCCCCTCAGCCACCACACCCCAGGCTTAGTCCCCAGACACCGAGCAGGGTGTTAGAGAAGCAGATGAAGAGCACAAACTTGGCCAAGACTTGGGGAAGGAGGTGGCAGGAGAGTAACACGCCAGATCCATCCCTGCTTCGCATCAGCACCCCTAGTTCATCTGGACCGTAAAAATCTTATTTTGAGGGTGTGGGAGGAGCCAAACATGGCAACACACCCACCCTTCCTCCCCCCCCGCTCACATTTGAGTGCCCGGATGGTGGGGCACACACACTGTAAACTCCTAGAAACACCCCAGCCACTGAGACACACCAACTGGCTGCAGCCCGACATGGGTCCAGCCTGCGTGCGTGTGCGCGTTTGGGGGGGGGGGGGTGAGGTTAACCTCTCCAGGGTGGGCCAGCAATGCCAACAGCTTTCAGGGCCTGGCCAAGAAGGCTCAGCAGGTTATTTATAACCCATCCAGAGTCACTAATGAGAGGAGCAGAGAAGGTGACTCATGGTTACAAACCACAGATTTAGCGGAAGGAGGGGAGGGCTGATCCGGAGCCTGGCTCCCAGGGCACTGGGGTTGCTAAGAAGCGGGTTGGATTGGCTTGGGTATGTGGCGGAGATGGGGGTGTGAGGAAGGGAGCGGTCTACAAATGCTGGGGGCAGGATCTCTCCCTCACCGTTGCTCACAACCAACCAAGAAAGGGACACCTGGCTTGGGACTAAGCCATTCAATGAAGCCCATGGAGAACGCAGCAAAAAGTCACCCACTGCCAGCACCTGCCGACACCAACACCTAAAGGGCACAGGCAGCAGAGAGACTTGGGATCCTGGCACTGGGGAAGGAGACCAGCAACCCCAAACTGAGAGGGGATGGAGAGGGGGAGGTGGCAGAGAGCAGGAAGAAGCAGGAAATGGAGATGCAGGAGGGGGAGCCCCCTCTCCCCAAGCACATGCTGGCTTAGGCCCCCCCTCCCCCAATAGCCCACCAACCCCTCATCGCCAGAGCTGGCATCTCCCTCTGCCAGACATCCCTTGGAGTGTTTCCTCCCCCGCAGCCCTGCTTCAGAGCAGCCCATTTGTGGCAGCATCTCAGACACTGGGGAAGACGTGGAGGAACTTGGCAATCCCCTGTCGCAGGTGCCTCAACCAACACTGCTGCCAGGAAAGCAAATCGCCCCAGTGCAACACAGCTGTGAGTCCGTGGGGAACCTCTCCCCCACCCCCATAGGACAGGCTTGGCTTTGCTGGCTTTCCTGGGAAAGCACCCTGTGCCCGCTGTGGGGCCGGGGGAGGGCAGCAGCTATGCACATCACTGGTTCTGAGGGGAACAGGCTCCTATCCCAGGAGAATAGGAAATGGGAGGGTTAAAATAAGGGGGAGTCAGGAGAGAACAGCACCTCCTTTCCCTGCTGAGCTCCCCCTCATACCCTGGCTGGGCAAGAGCCTCCCCAATCCAGCTCCTATTTGCATTGACCATTTTGGGACCAGCATCCCAGCTCCTATCCTTCTGGAATGGTGAGCCCGTCTGCTATCCAAAAGCCACGTGGCCATTTAGACTGTAATGGGGTAAAACGGCTCCCGTGCACCCCCTGCCCATTAATTTAACACCATTTACATAGCACCAGGTAACCAGGGGATCTCCAAAGGCAGGTCAGCATCAGCCCTATTTTATAGAAAGAGAAATAGAGGCACAGTAGCAAGGCAACTTGCTCCAGTGCTCAGGGCAGGGACACCATCTCCAGGCCCTGGCTCTGGCCACTGGACTCTAGAGTCCCACCAAGCACCTTCCCTTGGTTAGCTTATCAGCGTTAGCTGCAGAGGGTGCTGCGAGCTGGGCTGGTGTCTGTGCAGGCCTCCGTGTGCTTCCGACGTTTCCTGAATGCAAACATAGCGCCTGCTCTTTGCCCCCTTCACACACGGCATCGCATCGTCCCCTGCCACAAGAAGCGGAGCCCTGGGAAAGTGGAACAAAAGCAACTAGGAAACCGATTTCCTTAGCATTCCCCAGCTCCCACATCGCACGGACGCCTGCACCCCTTGCTGCCAGCCAGCCCCCACTCTGATGAGCTGGGACTCGGGAGCAAGCACGTGAAGAGAACGCAGTTATTGGGAGCAGTGCAGAAAGTGCGCTTGCTCTCTACCTTCCAAATGGTGCAAAACTGGGATCAGACACACCCTGCTCTGCCCAAGCTTTATCTGCCACCGCCAGCCAGCTGTCCCTCTTCCCCTCCCCCCCCCTTCACAGTTCTCCTGCCCCTTGGAGGTGGGAAAGAGAACCGTGTGTCAGAGCCTTCCCTGTGTAGGTGTGTGGTGCTTGTGAACATCAGCTGTGTGTGTGTGTACACATCAGCATCTATGCATCCATTGTGTGTCAGTTGCATCTGTGTGTTGGTGCACATGGCCATGCCTGTCTGCATGCCAGTCAGGGGGTCAGCTGCCCAGGCATGAGCGTGCCAGCATCACATACTTGTTCAGCCAGGTGGGTCGGAGAGTCTGACCCGCTGCGGAATGAGCAGCGCCCATTTCCTGGCTTCCCTCCCTAGTCTGCGCAGGGACTAAGCCGCAGATAAACCCACCACCTCATCCCACAACTCCAGTACCTGTCCTGGTTCATCACCAAGCCCCTTGACCTCCATGCCTCTCCAGCCACATCTGCTAGCCTGGCCCTCCTTTGAGGGCAGTTTCCAAGCTGCTCCCAGGTTCATTTCGGAGGGTGGGATTTGCCAGTCTCAGATTTTCCTAGAGGCCACTTATCTCAGGCTACCTTTGGACTGTCCAGATCTGCAAAACTGCCTTCCACTCCCACATCTGTGAAACTGTGGCATTTGACACCAGCTGTCCAGTGCCCTCTTTAACGCTCAAGTGATAACTC